AAACAGCCCCAAGGCGAAGTTCTTCCAATTTGGCAGCCGATGCCTCTTCCACCTGCAGCATCCGACACACTGCCACCACAAAACCGCCATCATCCTACAACATGTGACAAACACGCAACTTTCGTCACAATCCTATTCTGCCCCACCGGACCTGCATGCGTGGTGCCAAGACATCCAGCAATTGAGCGCGCAGCTCTCCAACCGCAAGCCACTTGTTGTCCGGTCCACGGCCAACATTTCGAGCATGCGCCATTTTGCGAAGCTCCATGACTGAAATGTTTGCCAGGGCATCCTGGAGCCATTCACGACCCCTGGTCACAGCACTGCTACGCAGCTCCTGCAACCGAATTTCCACGCCATCGGACGACGAGGATGACGCGGTCGCATGCTCCATTCGCACAGACATCCCCTTCAGCAAATGAAACAGCGACCACAAAATTGTACGGGACAATGATTCCCGTAGTATTTTTTGTCCACTGCTCATGCATTTCAATGAGAACATTACATATATTTTCTTCGTGCTATACTTACATAGATCCACTGCATCGTAAACAAACACTGACATTGTCACAATGCAATTCTCGAGATCTCACGGACAGCCCCCACAGAAACCTCGAGAAGTCCAAGAAATGTTCAAGATACCTGTTTGCCAATCGTCACTTGTTTCACGAACATTCAGCGTACATATAAGAATCTGGATGTTCACTCTGTACACAATGCATCTTGTCTCGACGTTCACATCTGAGCCAAGGAAAGAGGTAAAGAGGTAAACTATGCTTGTCGCTGCAGAGTTGCACAATCCACTGCAAAGGATTTGTTCGCTGACTTCCAAACTGAGACCACCACTCATGAGTTTGACACGGCAAAGAACCACTGTCGCAGAGACCTGCAAACTAAAGGCTGAACGCATCAACAAAAAAATAGTTTAACAAAGCTCAAAAACAAAAAACTCAGCAGCTCGGCAACACCATCTTGCATCATCTCGCAATGCCTCTGCAACCAAATTTCCACGGCAGCGGACGACGCGAATGACGCAGTCGCATGCACCATTCGCACAGACATTCCCGTCAGCAAATGAAACAGAGACCACAAAACGTCCACAAACGTCACGGGTGCGTGACTTCAACCAAACATGTTGCATTCAGAAAATTCCGAGACATGCATATCTGTTCGCTTGAGTTCAAAACAATGCCATGACATGCTTGAGAACAAAACAAAATTGAACGGTACAAAATTGAACAGTACAATGATTCCCGTAGTATTTTTTTGTCCACTGCTCATGCATTTCAATGCAAAGATCACATATTTTTTGTGCCATAAATCACATAGATCCACTGCATCGTCAACAAACACTGACATTGTCACAATGTAATTCTCGAGATCTCACAGACACTTTTACACACAAAAGCTTTTACACACAGACGGTTTTACACACAGACGCTTCTACACGCAGACACTTTTACACGCAGATGCGTTTTACACACGCACACACACTTTCACACACAGACGCCTTTACACACAGACGCTTTTACACACAGACGCTTTTACACACAGAAGCTTTTACACACAGACTCCTTTACACACAGAGGCTTTTACACACAGAGGCTTTTACACACAGAAGCTTTTACACACAGGCGCTTTTACACACAGACGCTTTTTTGTGTTTTTTTGGTTTTTTTCAAATATATAAAAAAACTAAATATAAAATTTATTTTACACCCACATAGGCTTTTTAATACACAACAGAAGCTTTTAACAAAACACAGGCGCTTTTACACACAGACACTTTTACACACAGACTCTTTTACACACAGAGGCTTTTACACACATACGCTTTTAACCACAGACCACTTTTACACACAGACAACTTTTACACACGACGCTTTTTACACACAGCTCTTTTACACACGACAGACGCTTTTACACACAGAAGCTTTTACACACAGACGCTTTTACACACAGACGCTTTTACACACAGACGCTTTTACACACAGACACTTTCACACACAAACGCTTTCACACACAGAGGCTTTTACACACAGAAGCTTTTACACACAGACTCCTTTACACACAGACGCTTTTACACACAGACGCTTTTACACACAGAAGCTTTTACACACAGACCCCTTTACACACAGACGCTTTTACACACAGAAGCTTTTACACACAGACGCTTTTACACACAGACGCTTTTACACACAGACACTTTTACACACAACACTTTCACACACAGAGGCTTTTACACACAGAAGCTTTTACACACAGACCCTTTTACACACAGACGCTTTTACACACAGACCCTTTTACACACAGACACTTTTACACACAACATTTTCACACACAGAGGCTTTTACACAGGCGCTTTTACACACAGACGCTTTTACACACAGACGCTTTTACACACAGACGCTTTTACACACAGACGCTTTTACACACAGACGCTTTTACACACAGACGCTTTTACACACAGACGCTTTTTACACACAGGCTCTTTCACACACAGAGACTTTTACACACAGAGGCTTTTACCCGCAGAGACTTTTACACACAGACGCTTTTACACACAGACGCTTTTACACACAGACGCTTTTACACACAGACGCTTTTACACACAACACTTTCACACACAGAGGCTTTTACACACAGAAGCTTTTACACACAGAGGCTTTTACACACGGAAGCTTTTACACAGGCGCTTTTACACACAGACGCTTTTACACACAGACGCTTTTACACACAGACGCTTTTACACACAGACCCTTTTACACACAGACGCTTTTACACACAACCGCTTTTACACACGGCACTTTTACACACAGACACTTTTACACACAGACGCTTTTACACACAGACACTTTTACACAGACGAAAGCGTTACGATTGACCAAGTAAAATCGCAATTTTTCCTCAGTTTTTGAAGTCCAACGTCCATTTCGTGCGTAAGGGTTGCGATTGACAACTCACAGTCGCAATTTTTCCTCAGTTTTTGACGTCCAACGTCCATTTCGTGCGTAAGGGTTGCGCGGGACGCTTCAAAGTCGCAATTTTTCCTCAGTTTTTGACGTCCAACGTCCATTTCGTGCGAAAGGGTTGCGCGCGACCAATAAAAGTTGCAATTTTTCCTCAGTTTTTGACGTCCAACGTCCATTTCGTGCGAAAGGGTTGCGCGTGACCAATAAAAGTTGCAATTTTTCCTCAGTTTTTGACGTCCAACGTCCATTTCGTGCGTAAGGGTTGCGCGGGACGCTTCAAAGTCGCAATTTTTCCTCAATTTTTGACGTCCAACGTCCATTTCGTGCGAAAGGGTTGCGCGCGACACCTCAAAGTTGCAATTTTTCCTCAATTTTTGACGTCCAACGTCCATTTCGTGCGAAAAGGTTGCGCGCGACCAATAAAAGTTGCAATTTTTCCTCAGTTTTTGGCGTCCAACGTCCATTTCGTGCGAAAGGGTTGCCGGCGACGCTTCAAAATCGCAATTTTACCTAGGTTTTTGGACGTCCAACGTCCATTTCGTGCGAAAGGGTTGCGTTTCGTGGCGCTCCGGCGGCACCGCCCCCGCCTTAAGAGAGAATAGAAGAAGAGCGAGAAGAGATCTGCAGATGTGAAGGTGTGAAGATCTAGATCTGCAGGTGTGAGGGTGTGAAGATCTAGATCTGCAGGTGTGAGGGTATGAAGATCTAGATCTGCAGATGTGAGGGTGTGAAGATCTAGATCTGCAGATGTGAAGGTGTGAAGATCTAGATCTGCAGATGTGAGGGTGTGAAGATCTAGATCGGCAGATGTGAGGGTGTGAAGATGTAGATCTGCAGATGTGAGGTGTGAAGATCTAGATCTGCAGATGTGAGGGTGTGAAGATCTAGATCTGCAGATGTGAGGGTGTGAAGATCTAGATCTGCAGGTGTGAAGGTGTGAAGATGTAGATCTGCAGATGTGAGGGTGTGAAGATCTAAATCTGCAGATGTGAGGATGTGAAGATCTAGATCTGCAGGTGTGAAGGTGTGAAGATGTAGATCAGCAGATGTGAAGGTGTGAAGATGTAGATCGGCAGATGTGAAGGGTGAAGATCTAGATCTGCAGGTGTGAAGGTGTGAATATCTAGATCTGCAGATGTGAGGGTGTGAAGATCTAGATCAGCAGATGTGAAGGTGTGAAGATGTAGATCGGCAGATGTGAGAGTGTGAAGATCTAGATCTGCAGGTGTGAAGGTGTGAAGATCTAGTATAACGGCTGCTTTTTTACGAAGAACCCTTCGCAGGCGCTCTCGGGAAAAATGTCACCACAATACTTAAATCCTTCTCCCCGTAGATATTGATTATAAATCATTCATTATAAAGCCCAATATGATATGCCGTACAAAGACCATCTTAAGACCATCTAAAAAAAAACAACGATGTATTTCGATAAAACCATCTTGGTTAACGCTTAACCATCTTAAAATCATCCTAACATCCCAAAATCCCAGAAAAAACCCATAAAAATCAGCATTTTTAATGGGTAAATCAGTAAATCCCAGAAAAAAACCATAAGAATCACAATTTTTCATGGGAAAATCGGAAAATCCCATCAAAATCAATCAAAATCACCATTTTTCATGGGTAAATCCCATCAAAATCCCAGGAATCCAAGGTGCCTGCGAGCTCCGGCGGCTCTTCCGACTCCGCAGCGACGAGGCCATGGAGCGCACCGAGGAGCGCATGGAGCGCCGGGTGTCGCCGTCGCGGCTGTGGGTGGAGCCCGGGGAGAGTGTCTGCGCGTCCTGACATGGGGCCCCTGGTGATACCCTATGGTTTAATGGTGGTTTAACCAACAAAAATGGTGGTTTTAATGGTTGATACTACCCTCTGGTTATGTCAAAATAGCTATTGAAAATGGCCATTGAAATAGTGAGTTTTCCCATGAAAAATGGTGGTTTTTCAGTTCGCTATGTAAACGTTTACCAGAGGGTATCTGGTGATGGTGGATGAAAAAGCCGGAAATGTTGACGAAATATGGCTATGGGTATTGATACCTATGAAAATACCATTTTTAGGGGGTTATTCACATCCATTTTAACCCAGCTATTTTATGATGTGAACAAAAAAGGGGTACTATTGGTTTTGACACACTGCCATATATGAAATGGTGATGAAATGGTGAAACTTGGATCAATTCTTTGAGTGAAAAATGATGGATTTCCCGACAAGCTCGGGCGAAAAAGGATAGAAAACTCGAAGGGTTTCCCCGCATCAAACGCAAGTTTTCTTCTAATTAGAGTGTGCCCACATTAGGAGGGTGGAAGGATGTGGAAGGCAGGGGGGGAGACTCTATGACTCTTGCGATGGGAGGGGTCGGCCTCAAAACTTGACCCATCCGACGAGTCAAGCCCAACCTCCTCGTTCGCGCTCCAGCCACTATTGAACCTGTCATCGTCATCCAAATTCTCTTCAAAATGCACCATGTTCATATAAATCAAACATGTTGAAACCAGCCAGTCATTGGGACATCACCCTGAAACCGAAGTTGCCCTCAAAATGCTGGGGAAATACGGATATTCCGCATGAATTATATTGTCATATATACCAGTGTGACTTTCTCCATCGTCTTGAAGCAGTCAGCAGCAATCCGACGCAATCAATCTATTTAGTACTGTCACATCTCATGTCATGTATTGAAATGCAATGCACATGCAAAGGCACAACATGTAAATTGAAATCTCATGCAATGCGAGACGATGTCACTGGCATAACATGGCATAACAATGTCAGATATGATTCGTTGAATTGCTTCTGACAAAATATATATGATAATATGGCAATACATTCTTCGGGCGTCACTTGCCACCATCCAGCTGTGAAAAAATAACCAATCCATCAAACATGCGCCAAATGATCCCCATTTTACCCACCCTCGGAGGCTTTGGTGACGACATGTTGATGTATTTGTTGAAGCCTACATAGCAAAAAAACATGTGTCTTCAGAACCATGGCAAACCATGGAAAATGCCCATTGAAAAAAACATGGAAAACCATGGTAAACCAGGCGCATTTCTTGTTCCAAACGATGGGACCGATCGCGCCTGGAATATTCCGAGTTCACGTCCGTCTGGTCGTCGTCCTCATAGAGACCCGCCTGGACCGGTCGCGCGGCCCTTTTTGGTCCCGTTGTGCCCGAATGGGATGCGAATGGGATTCGGACAAGACCAACTGAAATGCTGGGTGATGACCCTCTGGAAATCATAAAACTTGGGAAATCCCCAAACGAAATGGAGATTTTATAGCTGGGAAAATCAACTATTCATAGGGGATTTTCCAAAGCCATCTGCGAGTACCTGAGGGTCTTGGGGAGTGAGTGTCCCTCAAAAACGACTATCAAATCTGAGGACCTTGAGGATCCAAACATCTTGCTGCCATCATGCAATTTCGAAATTGTCTTATCCTTCATGCCACTGGAAAAAAGTGTTTTATCATGAATTGATCATAGTTTATCCCATTTCTCTTACATGGCAACACTGGTTTGGATGAATAATAAAATTATTTAGACTAATGATAAATATGGCAGTGTGTCAAAGCCTTGTACCCCTGGTGAACATCAAAATAGCTGGTAAATGGATGTTCATCCCCCTAAAAATGGTATTAATAGGTATTGATTCATAGCCAAATATGATAAATTATGAGCAACTACTGTTGGCCTCTGTATCTGGCATCTCGCTCTTCTGCCGCTCTTCTGTGGCCGTGGAATGAGATGTCAGTTCCTGCTCCTGGGGCAGCTCGGGATCAAGGAGAGTGCAGTAGCAACCCAAAGAAAAATGCCTTTATACTTACAATCATAAACATACAAGCATACATAGTTACAATATATATATATATGATTATATAATAAAATATTATATTTATTGAATCTTATGTAAAATTATGTCGTCGTAAAAATTGACCCAGCATACAACCCCAATAGCAAAGAATGACATCTCCGTTGACGCCAATTTGGTATTGTCCGGGGAACCATTTTACTCAATAAAATACCGTTTCTTCGATACCACCAAAACACCACCGGAACACCGGCAAAACAGCACAGAAACACCACGAAAACATGAGCGAGACCCAAAACATCACCGAACATCGTCAAGAGTTACGGACGTACCGCCAAAGTGCCACCAAGACGCCAACGACCACCGAAATACAATTGAGACCCCCCCCAGACACCAGCAGGAGGACAGACACCATCAACTATCAGGACAGACACCATCAGGACAAACGCAACCAGCGGCAAAGGGTTTTTCCCCAAAAAGTTGCTGCCAGCATACTTTGTCATAATATCATTTTTACCATCACCATCATCACAACACCCTCAATACAGACATCCACCATCATCAAAACACCATCGTCATCATGGTCACCATCGTCATCATCATCATCATCACTTTCTTCTTCATCTTCATCATCATCATCATCATCATTTTTCTCCTTTAATATCATTTTTTCTTCTTCAACATCCTCACTTTAATGCATCTACAAAATGATCTTCTTGAATACATCTACAACATGAAATTCACGTATACAGGTGAGTGTAGATGCAAGCATGAATCTTATTGACAGTCGTTCGTTCAGGTGCAGATTCATAGATGCAGGCTGACGGAATCTTCTATAACACAGCTACCAAACGAATATATGCATGCGTATTGTGGAAGATATATAGGTGCAGGCGGAGATCGATTTTGAGTGAAGCCGAGAAATGGATATATGCAGGTGTGTAGTGGTAGATGTAAAGATGCAGATGGAAATCGATTTCTTAAGGACACCTACAATCTTGATTGTTTCTAACTTTTCTCTTCGAGCGGCAAGGCAGCGTGGATTGATGTCCACAAAACGCAACCCTGTCGCACGAAATGTCGATCGTCAAACATTGAGGTCAAATTGCAATGTGGGTTTGTGCTGGGCCAACCCTTTCCAACGAAATGCGTCTCGACCATCAAAAGCTGTGGTGAACCTGTGGTTCTGCATATGTTTGCTGAACTCTTTGCGCCATACACGTGTCCGCCGCAGGAAATCATTCAGTAGTATGTCTGTGTGAAAATGCCCACAGCTAAAAACCCTTCGTGCACATACATGCCTTTGTTAAGAGCACCTCTGTTTGTTTTGGTTTCTGTGCGTAAAATTACTCAGTGTACAATCATCTCTCTGTAAAAGTATTTGTGATTTGTGTCTTAAAAGGCATTTCTCTCTGAGCAAGGGTGTCTCCGTGTAAAACTATCTCTGTGTTAGAGCATGTGTGATCAAAGGCATCCCTGTGACAGAGCATGCGTGTGTGTAAAGAAAACGCGCGCAAAATGAACACCGCCGTGTAACAGTATTTGCATGTAAACGCGCCTGCCACTGTGTGTGTCGAAGTGCCTCTGCGTGAAAGTGTTTGCGTGTAAATGAATGAATCTCGGCGCAAGAGAATGTGTGCGTAAAGCACACTGTACTGTAAACATATTAGCATGTAAAAACACCTGTGTGAAAGCATCTGTGTAAAGGTACCTGTGTGAAAACCCGCCTGTGTCTAAAAGTTTCTCTTAGCAACATCATCTCGGTGTAAAAGTATTTGTATCTTATAGCACCCTTGTGTAAAAGCATCTCTGTGTTGAAAGTATCTCTGTGTAAGAGCACCTGTAAGTAGAAGCATCCCTTTGTAAAATCATCTCCCTGCGTAAAACCATCCCTGTGCGAAGGCCCCTCCCTGTGTAGAAGCCCTTGTATGTAAACGCATCTCTCTGTAAACAAAATGGACGGAAACCTGATTCCCAAATGGCTTGAACCCTCCCCCAAATCATGTTTCCAGCTTCACCCATGTCAGATTACCTCTTCCTCTATGCGTCCTAGTCTGAAAGCACCTGTGTGTAAAAGCCTTTCTCCGTAAAAGTATTTGTGCAAAAATCCTTTTTGTAAAAGTATCTGTATGTAAAAAAACGCCGCTGTACAAATGCATTTCTGTTTGAAAAACATCTCTGCGTAAGAGTATTTACTGTAAAATCTTCTGTGAGTGAAAACCTATTTGTCAAAAGAAACCCTGTGTAAAATCCCGTGTAAAAGCATTCCTCTGTAAAAGCATCGCTGTGTAAAAACATCTGCGTGTACAAGTACCCACGCGTCTGTGTGTAAAAGTAAGTACCCAAGGGTGTGTGTAAATATTTTTTTGCTTGAAAGCATCCCTGTGCAAAAACACCTTTGCATGAAGGTATTTACGTGTAAAACCATCCCTGGGCAAAAGCGTGTGTATGTGCAAATGCCTGTGTAAAATCATGTCTTTGTGAAAGCACCGTGTGAAAGTATCGGTGTGCCATATGTTGGTTGTTTGCTGCTAGGATCTCTAAGCTGCATAGAGTCTGCCACAAATTTGCTCGGTATTTGCAGCATTCTGCAGCTAGCACCTGTACATTGCATGGCATGATGCAACATCAGTTCATTGCACGGAGCTTTGCCATCAGATAATATTTGCAGCAGTGCAATGCAAACATCGGCACATTCCATGATTTTGCAAGATATGGCATCATATATGAAAACTGTGCTGTGATGTTCACGGCGCTCTGAAGCAAAAAATCTGTACACTGTAGGGTGTTCGTAGCATGTAGAAATAAAATCTGTAGACTGCACGGTCTGTGCCACATTTTGGAACCAATATGTGCAAATTGCTTGGGACCCGCAACTCTTCGAACGTAGCACGTGCAAATGGGAAAGTGCTCGCAGCATTTTGGAGCTAGGCCTTTGTTTCTTTCTTCCTGCCGTCCTCCTTCCTTCCTACCTACCTTCCTTCCTTCCTTCCCTCCCTCCCTCCCTGTTGGTTTTCTATTCTAATACCTTTTTCCTGTGAAAAATTTGCGCAAGGGTCTCGGCGCAAGTGTAGTATGCAACAGGTACGTCAACTCCTCTAGTGAGGTGAGCAGCACACTGCCCTGGTCGCTGCATGGACCGAGGGAATGTTCGCAGTTGCTCCGGTAGAAGCATCATGGTCAATATGATACTTCATAACATACGTCAACATCTGTCCCTCCCCCCACTTCAACCCAAACCTGCAAACGCCGGGTCGTCGTCACATCGTCATCGTCTTCGTTGTCGTCATCGTCATGGTCCTCGTCATCATCATCGTCATCGATATCGATAAAGAGATCCATACCGACATCATCATCATCATAATCATCATCATCATCACCATCATCAACAACAACAACAACGTCGTCGTCATCCTCATCATCATCATCCTCGTCCTCGTCTTCATCATCATTATCATCATCACCATCATCATCATATTCTGCTTCTTCTTCTTCTTCCTCCTCTTCTTCTTCTTCTTCTTCCTTCTTCTTCTTCTTCTTCTTCTTCTTCTTCTTCTTTGTCTTCTTCTTCTTCCTTCTTCTTCTTCTTCTTCTTTGTTTTCTTTTCTTCTTCTTCTTCTTCTTCTTCTTCGTCTTCTTCTTCGTCTTCTTCTTATTATTATTATTCTTCTTCTCCATCATCATCATCATCATCATCATCATCATCATCCTCCTCCTCCTCCTCCTCCTCCTCGTCGTCGTCGTCGTCGTCGTCGTAACCAACGGACCACCAACACAACCGCCCCGACACCCCCACCCGACGCCACCAAGATATTGCCAAGACAGCGTGAACACCTTGAATCAACATGGAAGCCGCTGAGACACCACCAAAACACGACCGAGACCAGTGACACCACAGAGACATCATTGACGCACCACCGAAACACCACCGAGACACGACCGACACCCAGACACCAACAAGACACCACTGAGACACCACCGAGACACCGCCCAGGCCGGCAGCCGGGAACCCGACGGCGCCCATCCGCCTTTAGAGGTAACAACCCCAAGCTATCGCTATTGGGGAAAAAAGGTATATAATTGCCCCTGCCCGTTGGGTGTTCCCCCTAGGTTCAGGAGAGACACTCAAGTGGTTTTGACCACAGCCCTATACACAGGATAAAGCAATGAAATCAAACAATGAGCCAAACCCAAATGCAAACAAACCCGCTGACAACCCAAGTTGGACCATCGTGTCCAGTTTAGTTCCTAGTTTGTTGGGGGTTGATATCCCCAGCTTCGATGGGTAAATCAACAGTTTTCTCGCCATGTTTACCAGAAACTATATAAAATGTGTTATAATGTTATATATTTGTTGCAGTTCCACTCTCCCATCAGTACATATCTTGAAAAAATAGCATATTTTGCCTCAGAAACTGGGCTTAAATAGCCAGCTTAAGCCATCTCGTTTTTCACCAGTGGTCCAGTGGTGGTTTTTTGGTCCGCCACAGCCGCGGCTCCTCCTCAGATTGTTTGGAGGTCCGCGAGAAGCGTTTCGAAGTGTGCGAGTCCCGCAGGGAATCGCGGCCGATTTGCTGCCAAGTCGTTGGTGGCAACAACGGCAACGTGATCACCTGAGATCCAGTGGATGTTCCAAAAGAAGTCAATGGCCATATGGAGGTACTGATTTATTGGAGTATTGGACAAACCTGCCATATCAGTAAGGCCTATTTTGTCGGGCTAGGGCTAGGGTTTAGGGAATATCAATATCACTGGTCACTGATTTCAGGGAGGGTTCACTCGCCAATAGTGGTTTGATCAACACAGCTAATACATGGAGGTTTAATCACCAGCCGTGGTTGTCTAAAAATGGAATATCCCAAGATCCCATGTCCCGATATGGATCCAGAGCTCTTTCAGAGAGAAAACCAGAAGGTCACCATGACACAGAGTCAGCAGTAGTTGGATCCAAGTTGGAATGCAGTATGAATTACGAGCTGGATTAAGTTGTAAATGAAGGTCTGGCTGAAAAGTCAGGTGCCAGTTGACCCTCAACTTTGATCATCACCGAATCATCCAGGGGTCAATCCTTTTGACCGCAAAGGGAAACTAATATGGGATTGCTGGCTTGATACTTTGGAATGTTAAGCCCCTATTTTTTTTTTATGAACCATTCACCATTATAGTGATGGGCATTAACTTCGAATATCCATGTGTTCCAACATTTTTGGCACACACTTTGAAACTGCTGGCATGCTGATAAATTACTGTAAGTGCTCAGGGCCGACCCGTAGAACATACACTCCTGTAAATTAACATGGATACCGGTTCTTCAAGAAAAACAGCCGTCTTCCTACATGTTGTCACGTCACACCTCATCCCCCCCATGCCCCCTTGATCAATGTTGTTGATCGATGCAAGCCAATGCAAGCCAGCATCCGCACTGAAAACAAATAGTTTCTCGCTCAGAAAATGATCTACAACTGGTTGGTTCTCCTATCCATGTTAATTCACTGGAGCATACTGTATATCCCACTAAGTCTCTAAGTATCTAACTATATTCCAAAGATATCCCACTGATTATTCCAGTAACTTATGTATTCCAATAATGTGCCAATGAACCCATTTAGTTTACAGTAGTGCAACCCCAAAATGTGTAGGACATGTTGTAAACCTGGAAATTTGAGGTAAACAGCCTCGAACTACCATCCTGGAAACAGGGTTCTACCTCTTTGGACCTTGCAATAGTGCAAAACATGATGATGTTTTCCCATATTATTGCAATGCTTAACTGTAAAATAGTCGCATTAATTTCTTCTAATTTTTCCAATAGATTTTAACTCTTGACTTGTCCAACTATTCTCTATGTATTCCATTGATTGTTTCTTCCAAAGACATCAACCTCAGTCCAGGTCCAGGTCCTCCCCGCCACGGTGCCGTACAGGTCCTCGAGCGATGCCGCAAGGCTGCCCGCATGTCTGCTAAGGGCCAGCCGGGCAGGATACCAAGGCCCAGGTTCTCCGGTTTTCCTGGATGCTGTCGGGAAAACAACCATAGTTAGAAGATGTTAGAATATGTTGTACATGTTGTTACAACCCCAATTTTCTTGTTAGTCATAAACCAACTTGGCTAGTGATGGGGCACCTTGCAGGCTTTGGGGGGAGGGGAACAGTACTTGGTGGTTAAGATGTGGGGGGCGAGGGCATGGCGTGACTTGTCGGAGCATCCCACCTCGCAACTGGTGAACGGTTCAGTGGGGGCATTAAAACTTTTAAAAACATGTCAAAATCCGTGAATCAACGGGGAAAACCCATTTATATTGGGGATTTCTTAGCATTTCTTCGGCAGGGTCATTAACAAGTTACAGTAGTGACAGAGTGGATCCAAGTGCTGTAACGATGTGGAATCCCCAAATGATGATTCAAGTCACTGGTCATTGGGCCTTTGGAAAAACCCTTGTTGTTTGGGAAAACACCCATGTATGGTCACAGGCCCGTCATACTCGTAATTCTATACATTGTTATATCTATTAACCATTGACTATGGTATACTGTGGTCATAACTCTGCGTGTACCAATTTATAACATGTTCATACCAGAAACAAACCCACAAGTAGGGGGTTGACTCAGCAAATATGCCAAAAAATGGGGTTCACCAACACAATTGTGGAATTGAACCAACACAAATGTGGGTTCACTTCATGGGGATCTACCAAGAAATTTGCCGGGCCAAAGTTATGCGATTTTCGGGCTATCCAGGCTCGTTTTGGTGGGTTCTGGGGAGCTACAGAAGTCTCACCCAAAAATAGTGGAGATCTCAAGCTACCAAACAGCCAAACATCAAACAAACAAGCCACAAGAATTCACAAGAATGACATGCCAAAACATGGGATACTGGGATACTGACCGTTACTAACCCACATGGCCAAACATCCAGTTTTCCTGATGTCCTGCCTTGAGTCTCCTTCTCACCAAAGCGCAGTCCTGTGACCGCTGAGTGAAGTTGGTGACTTGGGATTCGCTCAAGCCTTAAAAATAAACAAAGCCAGATCCATGGTTGAATTCGATTTAAAACTAAACATTACCCAATTTGGTGCATTGGCACCCCATATTTAACTCCGACACCCAGCTTTTTTTGGCGCTTTGTGGCCTTGGGGGTCAGGCCGAACTCAACCCAAGCTGCAAACAGCCCCCAAAACATTCCAGCACGTCAACAAGAAAGTACATCTACTGTAATAGAGGACCACGAACATCATTCCCATCATACTGCGGGCATGGGTTATCCTATTCCCCCACAGGCACGGCCAAAATAAATGGATCCAATATCTTAAAGGGTTATCGCTTAAAGGCAGATGCCAAGAACCAAACAACATCTCTAGGTGGAAGGCCATCAGTTTTGACACCCCCCATATGGGTATGGGTCAAAATTAGGTACCCCAATAATTGGATGGTTAATACTAAACTAGACTTTTCCATCTGTGGTCCCCTAGGTCTTCCATTTTGACCCCATATTTTCCCAAAACAGGACATCTCCCCGTTGGTTTTTTGGCTCACCTGTGGTCACCACACGCTCCAGCTCATCAGCCTCATCCACCTGTGCTGGGCCCTTTTGGGCCAAAACGCGGATTGGGGCACCATGGGTTTTGCCATGTGAAATGACACCAATCCATAGCAAAACTGTTCCATATCCAATAGTAACATGATTATTTGGAAAATGGTTACCATTTGGAAAAATTGAGCTGGAAGCCCAAGTTTAGTTATATCTTATATAATGGTAAAATCATCTTCCAAAGATTATGTTTGGGTTCCATGTTAAATTGAGGGAGTGTTTGGCAGGAAAACCCACAATTACTCAACCCAGGCTTATGACTCCGAGGTCGACATTGTCAAATTGTGTTTGGTGACAGTGGCCATGATTGGCGGTGGTCAATACTGGCTTCATGAAATGACTTATTGGTAAATTGGTGGATGTTCATAAACGTATCAATATGTATATCATGTACGTATATAGTTATTTTAATAGATAATTATTTATATATATAAGGATAATTATTGATAATTACATACATTATTTATATATAAAATTATATAATATTATATATACAACTATATACATGTGATGATATATGCACATTCCAACATTCGAACCCCCTTCGAACCTCGCGCGAAATCACCACCTCTGCCGCGGCCGCTTTTCGGAGCTCCTTGAAGACCTCCCCGGAGCGCTTGACCTTGGCGATGGGGAGTGGAAAATGGATAAAATGGCTGAGTTCTTGGGGTTTTGAGTGGAAAAATGTGGAAAATTCGGGCGATGTCATGGGGATTTGAGGCTATCATAATCTATCATATCTATCATTGTCATGGTGAGATACTGAATTTCCATGAATTTCCGGGCTTGGACTGGACAACTCACTGAATGATCCAACAGTAGATTCCCCAGTCATGGTGGATTCAACAATGGGTAAAGCATAAAATCTTCAGCGTTGATCATAAGTGCCCTGGGAGACATCAGGCATTTTCTGGGATTGCTGGTGTCATTAGTGGAATTAACATGATAAATAAAAGTCCAACTGAACAACTTGTAGGAATTCTATGGATTTCCCAAGAACCCATGGTGGGCCCAAAATGGGATGGCAGTGCCGGTGAGATCGCGTCTTATGTAATTGACGTGGCAATGGAACGTCCGCATTTATGGGATGATGGAAACCCCAAAACCTCCAAACCTCCATATTCATAGGGGAGTTTCCAGCCAGCCATGTTTGATTACCAGAGGGTACCCTCTGGTAAACGTTTACATAGCGAACTGGAAAATCACCATTTTTAATGGGAAAATCCACTATAAATGGCAATTCTCAATAGCTACGTTAAATTACCAGAGGGTAAGACATGCTCCTATCATGTCCTATCCTTTTAGCTTTGGAATTCGGCGGGCTGGTTCGCCCATCCGTGCAAATTCCATGTTCGCTAAATTGGCCTTCCCTTAGCTAGTCCAATTGATCAGAGATCTTGGCCAGTCTACATCTCACCCATTCCGCAGAAAGTGGTGCCCTCCAGTTATATGTTCTCATCCAACATCATCCAAATGTATCTCCACCACAGTCCTGGCTTCCAGCTCTGGGTTTCCCAAACGGTATCTTTCATGGCATCCTTGGCGACACGTCCTGCTCCCACCACCAAATCCTCTGCCCGGGCGATCCTGGGAAGCGAAACAGGAGACAGTCCGGAAATCACTGGCCCCACTTGCGTTGGTAATTGAGTGATACAAAAAAAGGCTGTTGAACAGTTGAAGTCTTGGATTTGTGTTTTGAGATGATTAGTAAATCAAAGGATTTCCTGGAAATACCTGATACTTATGGAAATACAAGCATTTAATCTACAGAAAGTGATACTTGGAAGATCTTGCAAGAAACACATATCTATCATCATTGGGATGCAGGTTAAGAGATCCCACAAGTTTCACTGGCCAGCTGCCCTCAGAAACTGCCAAGGAACATCGGAAGCATGGACCGCACCGGTCCCTTGCGCTCCCCCGGGGTGTCCAGCAAGGCACTCCTGTGGAAAATCACCATGGGAGGTGGTTTTTGTTGGAAAATTCACCCAACTACTGCGGGAAATTGATGGAATTCGATGGCTTCATTGGAGCAAGTGAAGTTGGATTCGTTCACAACTCCTTCAATATCCTTCAATATCAGAACTGGTTGATGCGGCACTGGTTGAAACCTTGAAGCCAGCAGTGCTGACATTGGTGGTGGTTTCAACATGTTTCAACCAGGTTTGGGCAAAAAATTGGACACTTAACCAATGACGGATACTTCACCAATTCCTTCACCGGGAGTATTTTTTGCTGCACCCAACCCGGGCACCTACTCTTGGCAATCCGCTGTTGTTTGGTTCCCCGGCTTCGATACCTTGGGCACCAAGATTGCTTGCAAGCAGCCCAATTCGGGTGTTTCCCCGCCCAGACAGTCATTGAAAATTCAAATTCAAATTCGAGTTTCCCCCATAATTATAGTATAATTATACAGTAGTATCTATATATATATTATAGCAAAAATTATGGTATGTCCCATATGTTTTTAATAGTGTTCCCCAGGTTTTTCCCACATTTTTTCCATGGTCCCCATGGTTTCTCCATGGTTTCCACCGCGCCGAGTGGGCCAAGTGACACGCGCGTCACCACCTTCCGGGCCCGTCGCTTGGCCACGTCCAAGGGGAGACCCATCTCCTCTGGGAGCCGCGCGATCATGCGGCTCAACCTGCCGACACTGGGACGACCGACATGGAAATAGTGGGATGATTTTTTGGATGATTCAGGATGATTAGATATAGATATAGATATAGATATAGATATAGATATAGATATAGATATAGATATAGATATAGATATAGATAGTGTGTATATCTCTAATCCAATCTAACCTAATCTAATCTATGTGTTCCATTATTATGTCCTATTGTACTTATTATTATATCATCATTATCATTGCAATAGTGGGATGATTATATATAGGACTCAGCAATAGTCAAATAGTGTGTTATGATCCCTTATCCTTGGAAGTAATGTTTAACTATTGATTATGAGTATAATCCTTATATAAATAGGATGGATTCGAGGATTACAATGGGAAAAGTTAAGAATAGGAACCAAAAATCGGGTGTTCCATTCCCTTCGGATATATCGCATTATCTCAAGTAGAAATGTTGGGAAAAAAAAATATTAGGAACATGTTTTTTGGGAACATTTAATAGTAGGGCATGTTAACATTATGATGGTGGAAAATGTCAACAGGAATGCGGGGAAAATTCTGATTCATCAATGGGTTTCTTAATGGCTATCTTTCTATGGCTTGTTTTTGATTGGTTTTTCATCATGTTCTTTGTTTTAATGTGTCGTTGATGCCTCTTTAATGAGTTTTTTGCTTTTTGTTTGTGGTAGCTATTGGGTTTCCAACAGTGATAATGCCCAGCCCATGCTCATCCCAAGAGATGTCCATAAACCACCCCATGTTTGATGGAATCCCACATAGAATCCCAGCCATAGAAATGGTGATGACGGGGGGATGGTTTATGAAATTGTTTTGACCACATTACCCTCTGGTAAACTAACATAACTATGGAAAATCACCATTTTTGATGGGTAAATCCACTATAAATTGCCATTTTCAATAGCTATGTTAAATTACCAGAGGGTAGTTGGAATAGCATCCATGTTGGAATTATTGGAATCGAAATATAACTGCTACGACAGAGCTTCACCGGAAAATCACATCTTTTTTTTGATTGGAAACTAACCAACCAAAAACCGGGTCATCAAGCAAGCCAAAGTTAGGACCAAAAAAAAATGGTAGTTGCAACCCCAGTTGTATTGCGATATAAATGGGTACAACAATATCACTGAGGATATATGGGTACAGCTGGTAGTGGACTAACCGTTGCAACTCCAACCTGGCGGCACGTGATAAGAAATACTCATGTGGTAGACCCAATGCCATAAATCCAAAGTTGTTCCACTTCTATAGAATAGGGATGACTTATTAAAAGTACTACCACCTTGCAACTACCTTTGACTAAGTTGTGCTTTCGTGCACGACTGAATCGGTAACCTTCCCGTCTCAAACTGGGACAACGACCCAGACATACATTGTGATTTGGGATGACAAAATATTGGGGCCGACTTGCTATGCCATTTCTATGGATTTATCATGGTTTCATGTCATATCATTTCCCTTGTGGTCTTTCGATGTATATTGACCCCTCTGTTATTCTGACGTTGGTCGACTTTTCTATTTCTTGCAGATCGCCAAAATATGAATAAACAACCATGTTCTGGTAAAGCAACCTAGGAAAAAAAAAACATGAGAAATAAAATACAGTGATAAATCTGATAAATGGCTATATTTAGTTAATATTTGCCAATTATTTGCCGATAACCAACACAAAAAAAAATTGGATCATCGGCAACTTCCTCGCCTTTGGCCCGACTGATCAGGTACAGCGATCACGGCCTGGTCCCATGTGCAGGTGGTTTTATCTAAGTCATGCACCAACGATCAATGGGGAGTTTACTGAGAAATTGGGAATTCGGCAGCAATAGATGGGGATTTACAGGGATATTTAGGGTTAAGAAACCATTGATATATGAATTGAATTGAATTGAATTGAATTGAATTGAATTGAATTGTTTCTCAAGAACATGGGGATTTATGTGAGAAAACGATTGAAACAACAGAAGTAAAAACTGGCATGATGTTGAAGAAGGAAAATGTGGACTTCCCAAAGAGTGTATATATGTCTGTATAGTATAAAGCGACAATCATTTGGCATAACTGACATCACCAACGAATGAAGCCACGAAAATGGAAAGTCTACGATAAGATCTGCAATTAACCTAGGGAAGATCACCCATTTTGGGCGTGAAACTCCCCCCCAAATCGGCCACTGCAAGATGCGCATGGGCCATGGACCAAATGCTCTGAGGATTTGGGCCATCCTCCCTTGAAACTGTGGGATGTTCATTCCAAATAACTGGATGAAAGCTCGGGTCAGTCAGCTTTTTGTAGCTGGGTGTCCCGGTATCCCATATATATATATATATGAAACGTTTCAAGTATGTATGTATATATATATACATAAATATATGTATATATATAATTAAGTGGCTTAGAGAATGTCATGATCATGACCAGCAACCAGCTGTGACCACTTACCGCGTGGAATGAAAATCCAAGCGCCAACCTCGGGTCATCAGTGCCCCAGATCCACCGAGTACAACTCAGGCTGCGACACAGGTTCCCAGGGCGTTGCGAAGAGTTTGCGCCCCTAGCGGTGGAAAAATGTTGGGTACCCCAGACATCCAGTTTTCACATTTGAATCTGGCGGGAATGAATGAAGAGCTTCTGGGTTGAAGGATCGAAGTCAACCCAAACAAACTGGCGTTTGGAAAGGACCAAAGTTTCTGCGGAACTGGCGGAAAATGGTCTGGGAAACTGCACATGACCTGCAGATTATGTTGAGAAAGTCATTGAATCGTCTGAGTGCTTATCATGAGTGCTACACAGTCTTCTCCTGCATCAACTCCACAACAGGTGAACCCTTGACTGAGTGGCTAGCCGAGCTCAACAACAAGGTACCACCTTTTTTCGTGGTACCCTCAGATCAACATTTCAGATGTGTTTTTAGGATCACATCCACTGAAAGACAGATTGTCCATGATTGTCCAGTCATGTTACTTTATTACTCGGTTCAATGGTGTTCACCCGCCCCAGGCCTCGTTTGCCAGGTCTTTCGCGTGTGATTTCCATCCTCAGAGTTCGCAATCACTGTCATTGATCCCACCCGGCGCGCTGATGTAGAGGAGCAGGCTGCGTGCTGAAGATGTGGCAAATCTTTTTGTTTTCATATGTTGCAATTTACGCAAGCACCTGCGGAGGGGCGTCATCTTTGAGTCCTTTCTTCTCTCCTACCCGTGTTGCTGCTGAAAGGTACTACTTCAACGGTCAACAGTCTTTGATTCTCCTGCGCCTTAGGAGCCAAGATAGTTCCCCATTGGGGGTTCAATGTCCCTATGATGTTCCTTTGCTGCGTGTTCAATTTTAAACCCGGTTAAAAATGGCTTCTGAATGAATCGCTTCACTCCCAGAACTCAGGAGTCCCTGCTCTTCTTCACGCTGAAGTAAGAAGCCACCTCCAGGGATTCGGATGGCTTCGGAAATATCACTATAGAATACATATAGAATACTGTAACTAATACATATAGAATACATATAGAATACTGTAACTAATACATATAGAATACTTTAACTAATACATATAGAATACATATAGAATACTTTGGAGAAAGCCATGGATTTTTTTGCGCATGTGATTTTGGGCTGCCTGCTGAAACATCTTCCCAAGAACCAATTCTGGGCAATTGGGGAACACTTGTTGCAGACTTTCACTGCCCCATCGGGAAAACATTTTTTGAGAAATCGATAGCCATTTTTACAAGGCCAATAATGTGGCAAACCCAATAATAAACCATAATCAACCATCCCGCTAACCAACGATTAGGGAGTCGTTTCAAATCATATCAAATAGGGGTATACCCAATAATAAACCTCTATTGGGGATTATATATATATGTTATATATGTTATATATATATATGTTATATATGTTATATATATGTTATATATGTTATATATATATATATGTTATATATGTTATATATATATATATATGTTATATATGTTATATATATATATGTTATATATGTTATATATATATATGTGTGTGTTATATATGTTATATATATATGTTATATATATATGTTATATATATATATATATGTTATATATATATGTGATATATATATATGTGATATGTATATATATAAGGTTTGATCTGTGCCATCTTGGAAAAGTAACGGCCATGGCACTTTTCCTGACCCGACCGCCCCGACTGAGCCTTGGCGACGGTTGTGCTGCCGTGCCAGTTCGAAGCAACTGGCGCTTGCAGCGCGGTGGAAAGCCCATTCGCTCCCCAAAAAAAAGGTCTGAAACTGGAAAACCCCCCCAAAAAAAAACAGAAACTCTGAGTAACTAAGTAAACTCTAAAATCTGACTGAATCTAAAACTCTGAGTAATTAAGTGACTGAACCCCCTTCGAGAGTTCCCAGCTTCCACTGTGAAGCAACGCACCTGTAGAGCCGCGAGAGCACGGCAGCATTGACCTCGCTGGCGTGGAAGTTCACCCAGGTGATAGCGAGCTGCGGGCAAAACGCCTGGCACAGGAACTCCTGTTCCATGAAGAGTTGGGAGTTTGATGAATTTTCTGAGTGGTTGGTGCTGACCTAGAGGTTTGATCATGTTGGTAAAGGTCCCCAGCTGTTACATCACCATGTTTCAGGATTATACAGGGGGGGGCTGTCAAGAATTGAGCGGAGAAGCATGGATAAGCAACAATTAAATGGGCATTACTAAGTGGATATCTATACTTCATGGAGACAGCCCCGACATGACAAAAAGATAGGGATACTGAACCTACTGATTTTCGCAATCTCTGGAATATCACCAACTTGGACTGGTTGGTTTCAATCAATCCATCAAATGCATCTATGTAATCTATGTAGAATAGGAACAATATAAGTTATATAACATTATATAACTATATAACCAACAAAAGCCAGGTCGCCAAGCTAGAAGCACTGGGTTCTTGTATGCAGCTTGGTGCTTGTAGCCTCTAACCAGCTGGTCAATCACCATGGAGACCCCCAATGATGGGCAGATTTGCCAAAGCGTTTAAGGGGCGATCAGTAAAACATCAAGCAACAAACATGGGGAATGTTGAATTGAACCCCTTAAAAAAAAAAAAATGATGGAATATGAGATTACACACGTCTTTAGAATTATACGTCTCCACAAAATTGTTGGTATAAACTAACCCAGCCATTAAACATCTTTTACCACGTTTGGGATTGGTTTCGCACACAGCCCAGAAAGGAGATTTTAAACAGATTTGTCTAGAATAAAGTTGATAGGGCAGGCAATCCAGCACTGGTCGTTTCTCAGTATGGGTCTTGTGAAAGCTGATATGAAAGTCCTGGCCATCCATTGCAAGTGACCTGGGACCCCAGAAAAATTGTTTTCAGATGTTTTCAGCAGCCTGAAGCAGCTCCTTGCCCAACCAGACCTCGCACATGCATCAAAATCCTATCAAATAAATCCAAATAATGTGGGCATTGGATTCATTGGACGAATGGTCCAAGGGCGAAAAAGACTCGGCTCAGCAACTCGGCGTGACACATCGAAAATTTCTGAGGCAAGTTGGGATCATCCCTTCCGTGGGGTTGCCCAGCAACCTCTCCCGTTTTGGATGCTTATATAAATCCTCACTGCCAATGGTTCAACCGATGGTTCAACCGTTAAAGCCCAGCTTTATGTAGGTCATTCATGGTCGTTCCGAGTCATCCCAAGGTCGTGAAGCCCGCGCCTTTCTCTTGGTTCTCAGGCCCTGAAAGGTCGGAGAGGTGGGATTTTTATCACTGAAAGGAGGTGATAGCCTCCAGCTGTTTTCCTGATGAAACGTAATAAGAAAGAGACCCTAAGCACCTGGAGATGGTTTGTGATACAAAATCTGAAACATCAACGACATAAAAAAAGAACTGTTTTTCAAAGACATCGAGAGCCAGTTCATGAAGGGATATGAAGCGGTTCTTTTCGTTGCCTCAAAGCCTAGTCGAACTGGGTCCAAACTACCCCATGAGCCTGCTTTGATAAATGTTTCATCCCAAAGTTCGCAGTTCTGCTCCCTCACTTCCAGTCAACCCATCTGTGCCATTTGATCGTTACGAAGTGTCGGAATCTTCTGGGATCATGATCGTCTTATCAGATCATATCAGATCTCGTTTGAGTTGTCCCCAAACCTCCAAAACTTGAATAGCCATTGCAATACTCAGAGTCTCCCATTCATTTCAATGGGAATTGTGGAAAGTGTGCAACCATGATGAAACGGTGGGAATGACATTGGAACATGTTTGGAACTACTAGCATCCCCTGAAAAAGATAGAATTTGGTGAAATTCAGTTAAAAGTTAAAACATGAGTACATATTACATACTGTATATACGTACGTATATATAATACTACTGTAAGAATTTCAGTGTCAATCCACTCCCGCATCCATCTAACACTCCTAACACTTTCAAGGAAGTTTGATGATGTTTGATGAGTAATTTGGAGGGTACCATATATATATATATATGCCACCATGCCACCATGCCACCATGCCACCATGCCACCATGCCACCATGCCAACATATCCGAGCCCCATCCTCCCAGCCTGGTAGGCCGGCACATGCAGATCGATGGAGGTAGGTTCCAAGACCGGCGTCTCTTGCTCCTGGCTCTCAACGGCAAGATTGCAAAAACCTGGGTCTTTTGTTGGCGTTCTCAATGAATTTGGCCTCTGTTGGTTTGGTGATTCAATGAGTAGGAACCAAACGAAAAATCAACAACTTGGTATACGTGAGTTAGCTAGAAATGGATTTAATCAGCGATTCAAGCCATAATTCAAGCCACAAACCGGTCATCATTATACACCAGGCATCAGCTGATCATCAGCCTTCCATTTCGGAAAATTTCAACGAGCCTCAGGTCCATTGATGGACACCGTATCAGCATAGATAGCCCCTACCTTGGTGGTGACAGATGGTGACAGGTTTTCAAACTCTTTGGATTTCAGGTACGGGGAGATCGTGGGATGTTTTTGACACATCCTAAATCCCACTAAGGAATGTATGAGTAAATTAAGTAATGAGATTACATATCATATGTTTTCATTTTATCACTCAGAAATATGATATGAACTATTCCTAAAGTTCAATGTGGAACCTAAGGGCCATATCCGGTAATAAATCACTTTTGTTCCCCATTCCATCCCATTCCCATTTCTGATGGAACCAATGATGAAATCACTTCATCCCCTAGCTAGCGCTGTTTGGCCCCTGACCACTGGGGTTCCTGACCCGCGCTTGAAGCTGCAAACAGAAGTCCAGAGCCTCAGGGATGAGATGGGATGGGTAACTTCGGATGTTTTTTTTGGTATTCGATTGGTTCCCTCCAGTAATCTGGAACACTTGGGCGATTGAAAATCACCCACCAAATCGAGGTTTCTGGTAAAAATCGAGGATTTTCCATTGCCATGTTTGATTACCAGAGGGATGCTGGACCGCATCTTCAACCTTCACAGGCGAAACATCCCTGGGATGCCCACCGTCACGCTCTCCTCGGTGTCCTGCGCTGTGGCCGCAGCTGCCGCCTGGAAAAGCTCAGAAACTGAGGAATTTGGTTGGTTAAAGATGCTTAAACAATCTTAAACATGGGTTAACCATGGTTAACCATATTCAACCAGCACCTTTTTTAGTCCTTTATCATGCTCACAATCACTCTTCAGTCGTGATTTTGCTGATATCACAAAAACAAAAAAACATGTCTCACTCCTAGAATTTATGCTTTGCGTGGTCCGCAGGAGTAAGAAATGGAAAAAAACATACGGTATGTTTTGCCATGTTGTGTGTGTGAACCTGGCTGTGACCGTTCCAAAATTCATAGTTTCATAGGCCCTCGTAATAGCTCCCTGCAGCAACTCCCGTTTTGATGATGGGCCCTCCCAAATGCGGCTGCCAGTATTCCCACAATATCACTGTGGCGTTGATTAACTCCTCATCATTGCTGCAAACATGCATTCAAACGGTGGTGGTTGCAGCACTGTAAAATCCCGATGACTGTGGTATCGTCATTTTCCTCGCGAGAATCAAAATAACATAAAATAACACCATTGCATCGCAGCATATCCCAGCTCAAAGGGCTTAAATCCCTCATTCCTCATCCTTTCAAACTGTTTGGTGCTTCTGACCTCCCTGAAAAATCAGAAACTCATGTCAGATCATCCGGAAAATAGATGCAGAACATACCAAACCGTACCATGTAACATAACATGACACAATATATCAATATAGTCTATATGGTCTGTCCATATATATATATACATATATATACATATATATATATTTATTTATTTTTTATTTATTTATTTATTTATATTTATGTATATATATAATATAGTAATATTGTACTAATTCTATGTAATTCTACATTAACACATATCATCCCCAGCTCAGCCGACCCCTGGGCCCCCGCACCGCCGCCGCGGAGGCCACCTGCGCTGCCTGCGCCGCCTGCCGCGCCTTGCCGCGCTGCGCCGCCGCCGCGGCCTCCGCGGCCACCGCGGCGGCGGCAGCGGCCTGCTCCGCGGCGGAGGTCGTGTCGACGCCGATGGCGGTGCCCACGGCCACCAGGGCACTGGCCGTCACGGCCTGGCCGTGACAAAAAATGTGAAAAACATATGGAAAATATAGGTTTATGTGATTTTATTTAGGGGATATGCTGAGGAGGTAGGTATATTCATATGTTTCAGGTGTTGGTGGTGAAATGCCGATATCAAACGAGGGTTTTGTTTGGGGAGTATCTTATATTCGCGGGAAGCGATTTGGGGTTGTTTGAGGTTGGATTTCTTGAGGTTGGAATCTTTGGAGCGGAAATCATGGATGGGAAAACTGGAGATCTAGGTGAGCATTTGATGAATAAGGGGTATAGATTTCAAATCTGCCGACTTTTCGATGAGTTGCGCAGGGTATTGGCATTGATGCCGTGGTGCTTTGCTTCCCCCTCCCAACTTCTTTCCTATCTGGGTATCTTGTCGCTTCAAACAAACTTATGAACATTGTGAACAACCCCAGAATTCATCGGAGTGTATTCTACATGATGCCAGCCGTACGGTTCACCGGCCCAGTTGGCTTTGGTCAAGTTGTGGAGTGCTTCGAAACATTTAAAAACCGTGATTGACCACCAGAATCTCTTGCAAATGTGCCCCCTTTGACCTGCAAAGGTCGTTGTTTCGTTGCATCCCAGATTGATTTGCCTCTGGTTCACAAAAACCCTACCCATCACCTTGCCCATCCATATTGAGCAGTTGGACTGTCAGTTCTATCACCCTCAAGATGGCTATGAAATCAGCACAAAACATCACAAAACCTCATCTTAGCTCACCATCTTAGACGATTTTCCCATGATTTTCCCATGATCTTTCCATGAAATCGCCCCAATTCCCCTGATTTTTCATCGGGTACCTCCAGCACCAGGATGCAGGACTCTGGTTCCTCAGGTGAGGCCACCGCACCCATGCGCAGCACCGGCAAATCAACCTGCGGAGGCTTCACCCTGGTGTTAGACAGGTGTTAAACAAGAGGCTTAGTATGATCGAACTGATCTTTCAACCCCTGTTTGATCATGGTTGATGGATTTGATGGATTTTGACTGCGTGAAGCCCTCCCGGTAGTGAAGCCCTCCCGGCCACCGGGGTGACCTGCAGATGCCCGGTCCATGGGCTGCCGGAGGACCCGGCTTTGACCGTCTGCGAAGCGCGGGAGACCTGCTGGGAACTGGTTCCAGAAACCCATGGATTTCAATCTTTTGTATTCTTTGGTTACAATATGTTACAATTATACCATCGAAAAATCGGGATTTCATGCAATTCATTAATCCATTCATCATGTGTTCGATTTTTTTCCGGATGTTAGATAAATCTTACAGGAAACCCTTGGGCTTCTAGCAATGCAAGGGGTCCTTTTTTATGGTCCCTTCAATTCAGACACATCCCCTGAGAACATGACTGTGGACAGGACTTCAAAAAAATGTCACCGCATGACTTGGGAATAATAAACTGAAGACAAATGAGGGAAACATGTATAAGCATCACCTTTTTTATTTTTGCGGTCCCAAAATAGATGGGATTGCAATTTTGGAGCCCATTTTGGGGAATTCATGGGTTGGTTCATTTTATGTAATGCAATTTATGATATCCGGAAATGGTAATACCAATTCTTTTCCTGTGTCCTATAGTCCAGTCCTATGTTCAGACAATCTTAGGATGCTTGGCAATTTGGTATCACTTTGATGTGTATGGTTTTACTCCAACAAATCTGGATGAATTAGCTATATCAAGGGACGATAGGAAATGTTTAGACGAAAATCAAGGAGCCAAGCTTTCAGCGAATGTTTGAACGCTATTTTTCCATTACTCTCCATTCCTTTCATGACAGTGCCTCCATGATTACATGGAACCCAAAAATCATCAAACATATGACATTAAGCCAGGCCTTCTGAAGGGTGTTAACAGTGTTTACCATTGGGGGGATCTGCAGGGACAATTACTTCAAAGCTTGCTGATTTGCTGTACTGTCAGGTGCTTAAATATCTTAAATCTTTCCCAAGTTCATCCAGTTTCCAGGTACCCTATGGCCCTATGGAGTGGGGGATGACCGGAAGGACCGCCCTTCGGGCGCCTGGGATGGCGGTGCGGCCTCGATTTCTGCCTTCAACTGATCCTAGGTGGCAGATGGCAACCAGTCAGTTGGCTTTCAATACCCGTCACGGATGTGTACAGCAAAGTTGGCCATGTTTGGGGTAGTACATCCTATGGGTATCTGTAGGTATGGAATTTGAGGCAAAACGCCGAAGTCCACGCTATCTGTCACACTTCGCCAGAAGCACTCAGAAGCACAAGATTTGTGATGTATGATGCTGTATGACAACTGCCCATTCACTTCTGGCGTCGCACGCATTTTCCAATTTCCAAACACCCCTGTTCCTTCTTTTCAGGGATGAAATTCTGGGCTCCCTGGCAATGTTGCTCTGTAGCACCAACACAGCTTTCAGGTGATTCGGCTGCAGGGTGACCTTGGCACCCCAAATCAGGAGTCAATGGGGAACTTGTCTGGATGTTCGGGGCTGGAAACTGAAACTGATTCACCAGCTCGTCAGGCGGGACCAAAATGATTTTGGATGTCAAATGACGTGTACAACGAATCGAAAATCCCAAATAGGCCATTTTAAGGGATTCCACCGTGGTCAATGACCCCAGGAACGCCGCGAAACCTCTGCATCCTCAAGGGCTGTCCAAATTTCTCCAAAATGACACTCTTTACTGCTGGTTTTAGGTGGAAAAACTCTCTCTCAAAGTATTTGAAGGCCAAAGATACCTATAGATATATCTGAAAGGCACTACCAATAGGTCCAAATATCTCTTGGCAACTTTGACCTGCTCAAGGCTATGAAACCTGACTCGCAGGCTGCCAAGGCCATGGTGTCTGGGTCAGCCGGCCCTCACTGGCTCCACCAAAACTTTCAAGCCATAGAAGTCCGTATGCCTGGAAGGGGATCAAAATGGTATAGTTTTCATGGGGAAATCGATAGGAAATCATAGTTTTTGCATGTCTTTGCCATCAAAAACAGATGTAGGTCCTGGAGATGTTCCAACCAAACTAGCTCTGGGATGTTGGGTGTTTGCGTGGCGGGGTTGGAAAAATCAACAAAAGAATATTGTTGGAAAGCAGGCAAACAAAATCAAACAAACATTTTGCAACACACCACATAATCCTCAAAATGAGCTCGCATTGCTAACGAATGAGAATGTGGATATCAGCAAGCAACAAATATGTTTTGGGGTGTAATAAACCGAAAAGAGAGGAATCTCACCAGCCATGGGGTCAGAACAGACAAATCTATAGAGTATCAATGGGTTGGTGGGAAAATCTACAGGAAACCCTTGTCTTTACCCGTGAATATAGAGGTTTCCTGCAGATTTGCCCTTAAACATACATTGGGAGAGCCATTGATTCAAGATCAAGGTGCAGAAGATTGGATTAGGAGCTCCACCACATCACCATAACTCTCAGAACCATCCATCAATTATCATCATCAATTGTCGTCATCGTCATCATCGTCATCGTCATCGTCATCGTCATCATCATCATCATCATCACCATAATCACAATCATCGACGTAGTACAGAAATCCTCATTGTCATGATAGTAGTTACCATACTGAAGGTTTCCTACAATGGGGGTACCCCAAAAATGGATTGTTTATATGGTTTATAATGGAAAATCCCATATAAAATATACAAAATTGATGATTTATGGAGGTATATATGGGTATATACTCCATTTTAGGAAAACCTCCATATGTGTCATACATGTCATCGGCACCTGCTCTGATCGTCCTCAAGAGCCTGGACGATGGCGCAAGACTTGGATCATGATGGGTACCCCGAAGTCAGTGGGCGAAATGGGAACATCATCTATAAATGACAGAGGGGATTGTCCATTTCATGGGAAAGTGGGAGTTAATCCATTTTTGGGAATTTGGGGATAATGATAAATGGCAAATTTTCCATCATGTTTAAAATCCCAGAGGGATTTTGAGTGCTTTCTAAGCCCACAAGATCCAAGGGCTACCTTTGTGGGGGCACCCTTAGATTTGCATCATTGGAGTCTCCCTACAAGTAGCCTCTGCTAATTTAACGTAGCTATTGAAAAGACAATTTTTTAATAGGTAACTCATCATCAAACATCTATAAATGGACCATGTTCCATAGCTATGTTGAATAACCAGAGGGTACTCGACATTCACCGGCATCTTGGAATAGCCAACCATATCATATCCACCTGCAACTGTTCAATGGTTTTGACATCTTAGAAAACCCTGGTACCATGTTGCTCACCGCCCAAAAGCGAGGCAAATAGATGATAGACCATAATTACTATGGTTACTATTGTCGGATGGAGATTTGTTCAAAAGAAACACCATAAATCCATATAAATCCAATTTTGTTTTTCTTTGGTATTACAACCAATATCCATACTTTAATTCCTTGTCCCCGGTGGTCCCCTCCCACCTTCACCGTCAGGGTCATTTGCAGGCGCATGGGATGCAGGATGGCGCCTGGGGATTTTACCCTCTGGTTTTCTTTGTTTCGTTGTTTTTTAAATCAATATTTATAGGTATATCCATCATTGTAGAATATAAAATCCTTTGGTATATATATATGTGTACAATACGATTCTATGAAATCCAACTAAATGCTGGATTTTCCAACAACCTCTGCTTATTTAATAGGTATATCATCATAAAATGATCATCGAACTAAGTCTAACTGGTGGATGCTCCAGCGATTCTCGGGTGTGAGATAAAATATTCATGAACCCAACACTACTCAGGATTATCCTTGGGATATCATGGGATTGACGGATTTTTAACGACTATGATGCATGGCGGGTTAGCTTCACCAATGACCAATGACCAATGAATGGGACGATTTGGGGATGATCTCCATCTGACCGCTATCCCACGGCATCCCACCATAACCAGCTCGACCAGGTCGTCATTTTTTTTTTTGCTGGTTATGGTGATGTTCCATTTATAGCGAAAAAAAACTGAAGGATTAAACATGATTAAACTACCTACCTATAGGTTGGGGGATGTCAAATGTCACACATTTCGATTCCAAAATTGAAAGCTAGTCTATGGTTAAACGGTTAGTAATGGTTAATAACTGACAATCATGGTTTTTTATCCAAAGAAAGAAACAACATAGTCATCGTCCAGTGCTTCAGCTCTGTGAGGCCCCCAACTCGATCCGCTCCTGGAATGTCATGATGGCGAAGATCTCGACGGATGTACCGTGAAACCCAATAGATACATAGATCTTATGTATAATATAATATGATATAATATACTATAATATAACATAATATAATATAACATAACATAATATAATATATAATATATAATATATAATATATAATATATAATATATAATATATAATATATAATATATAATATATAATATATAATATATAATATATAATATATAATATATAATATATAATATATAATATAATAAAATATAATAAAATATAATATAATATATTACATCTTATATATTGCATGATATATATATATGTATTATTATATATATATACACACATACATATTATATATACACCTACTTTTGAGGGGCCCATGAATTCTCCCATGAAGTGATGATTTGGGGCATCTTTCTTTTCCGGCTGCAAGGCAGACTGCTTAAGGACTCACCGCTTGGAAGCAGCAAATATGACCTGTCATTATTAAGAATCATACCAGATGATACTATTGATAAATAATGATAAATAAGTGTACGTCCCGCAAGAAACCCCCAATTAAGCATGTTTTTTTCATTTGCAGAAGTGTTGTTCATTCCTTATCTCCAAGCCTCCAAGCCTGTTTTTTTAATCCAATCCGGGCCAGTCGGTTCACTAACCCTTTCTGCGGCCAGGGAAACTTTGCCCCCAGCGATTCGTCGGTCGCGGCGAGATTGAGCTCCGACAATTGAAGCCAACTGCATTGGAGAAAGTCATCGAAAGTCATCGAAAATCCATATGATCGTCATCGAAAATCATATGACCCAAGAACCCCCAAGGCCCCAAGATTTCTCATTGAATCCATGGAATCGAACCAGCTATCAGCTATCCCTCCAAATCAACTCGACCAACCAACAGCTGCCCCTTTCAGCTGCGACAGTTCAAGGCTGAGACCTGGCTGGTTTTGGGGAAATGTTTCACCAGAAACCATGGGGATTTTGATGGATTTTGACGAGTAAAAACCGAGGTTTTTGCCAGGACAACCCAATGGGAAACGGATTGGACAAACAGTGAACCAAGGTGTTGATATTCCCGCAAACCAATCCAACGAAATGGCTGTTGATGTGTATTGGTATCATTTGAGAAATTATTCCGATGATTTTGCAGGAAGGACTGAAATTCCCAAACTTAAGATGATGAATATCAAGATATTCCACTTGGGCACAACGCAGTTCTCAGCCATTTGCGAACTGCCAGGATCTTACCGGAAGATCTCTGTGGGTTCACAGAGTTCACAAACGGAAAGTTCACAGAGTTCCACAGAGTTCACAGAGTTCAGCCGTTTGCGAGCGGCCCCCAGTGCATACTTATGTCATCTTATGCCTGTGTCATTGCCACGGAAAGATTTGATTGTCTAAAAGACATCAATCTAAGCATAGCATGTGTATAGTATGTATATATATATAGATAGATACAATATCCTAGTATCATTTGTAGCATAAGGGTATATATATATAAGTGTGTAAATATATATATATTATATACTTCCATAGTTATGTGTTATCAAAATGGGGAGGGAGAGAGAGAGAGAGAGATGCGCAATGCTTTGAGAACCAAAACCTATTGCTACCGTCTTCGGCATAGTTGCACCACACGACAACTGGCTAGTGCAGGTCACTTCAACGTAACCAAAATGTCACTTCAACGTAACCAAAATCTGGTTGAGGAAATGTTCAAACCGCAAAAGGATAATCATCTCAATATGTATATGTATATGTATATGTAAAAATGTATAAAGAGTGTGTGTGTATATATATATATACATGATTATACATGGTCTCGTGTTCCGTGTTCCTACCCCCCCATGGTTGGGTCCCCAGGTAGCACCCCCATCCCTTCTATTTGCAAGCTATTGGCAGCATTTCTGAGGTCCAGCCTCGTATTTGCTAGGTCTTTGCAGCATTTCTGACTACCAGCCTCGCATTTACTAGGTACATGCTACCTTTTAGACGACCTACGTAGCACACATACTCCCAAAGTACCTACGTGCTACCTATAGTATCTACCTCCTATTTACTACCTCTGTATTCTCACAACACTACATGTGTTTAACATATACCGCACCAACCATACATTCCAATGATACCATACATACCATACATACCATACGAACTTTGACCATACATACCATACCTATCATACCTATCATACATACCACACACACATACCATACATATGAAACATAATTACCATACATACAATACCAAACGTACATGCCATACATACCATACCTACACTACATAGCAAACATTCCATACCCATACCATACATACCATGCAGACCATACATACTGTCATATCAAACATACCATACCCAACAGACTTACATACCATACCTAGCATCCATACAATACCAACCATTCATGCCATACATACCATACCTACCATACATACCAAACATACCATACATTCCAAACATGCCATATACAGTATATATTGTCATACATACACTACACCCCCGCACCACACACCCCGCACCAGGGGGAAGGGGACAGTACTATGGCTGACCCATGACCATGGCCGGGGGGGAGGGGGGTTAGAACGCTGGACCATATATACGTATAATACATATATATATATATACATAATTATATATCCGCCGACCCCGGCCTTCGCCAAGGCAGGGGCGGCGCCTGGGACCACCGTAGGTGTGGAACTTTTGCAAGGCTCCGTGGCAGCTTCGACCACGAACTCAGGCCACAGCCCTCTTCGACCAGGCACTCAGGCCACAGCCCTCTGTTGTTAAGGGCGTTCAAGCCTGCCGTTGCCCTCTGTTGTTAAGGGCGTTCAAGCCTGCCGTTTGCCAGGTTTCAAACCCCTACAACCGTGCGTGGCAACTTCGACTAGGCACTCAGGCCACAGCCCTCTGTTGTTAAGGGCGTTCAAGCCTGCCGTTTGCTGGAAACCCCTTGTTCCAGGCTCAGCCCTCTGTTCTTAACGGAGTTCAAGACTGCCGTTTGCCAGGCGTCAAACGCCTAAAACCCCTAAAACCTCTAAAACCCTCCGCAGCAGCTTCGACCAGGCACTCAGGCCACAGCCCTCTGTTGTTAAGGACGTTCAAACCTGTCCTTTGCCAGGCTCAGCCCTCTGTTCTTAAGGGCGTTCAAGCCTGCCATTTGCCAGGCGTCAAACGCCTAAAACCCCTACAACGCTTCGCGGAAGCTTCGACCAGGCACTCAGGCCACAGCCCTCTGTTGTTAAGGGCGTTCAAGCCTGCCGCTTGCCAGGCTTCAAACCCCTGCAACTGTGCGTGGCAACTTCGACCAGGCACTAAGGCCACAGCCCTCTGTTGTTAAGGGCGTTCAAACCTCTCGTTTGCCAGGCTCAGCCCTCTGTTCTTAAGGGCGTTCAAGACTGCCGTTTGCCAGGCGTCAAACCCCTAAAACCCCTAAAACCCTCCGCAGCAGCTTCGACCAGGCACTCAGGCCACAGCCGGCGTTCAAGCAGCTTCGACCAGGCACTCAGGCCACAGCCCTCTGTTGTTAAGGGTGTTCAATCCTGCCGTTTGCCAGGCTTCAAACCCCTACCAGCGTGCCGTTTGCCAGGCCTATAACCCCTACAACCCTGCGTGGCAGCTTCGACCAGGCACTCAGGCTGCCCTCTGTTGTTAAGGGCGTTCAAGCTTGCCGTTTGCCTGAAACCCTAAAACCGTGCGTGGCAGCTTCGACCAGGCACTCAGGCCACAGCCCTCTGTTGTTAAGGGCGTTCAAGCCTGCCGTTTGCCTGAAACCCCTTGTTAAAGGTGTTCAAACCTGCCGTTTGCCAGGCTCAGCCCTCTGTTCTAAAGGGCGTTCAAGACTGCCGTTCGCCAGGCGTCAAATGCCTAAAACCCCTAAAACCCTTAAAACCCTCCGCAGCAGCTTCGACCAGGCACTAAGGCCACAGCCCTCTGTTGTTAAGGGCGTTCAAACCTGTCGTTTGCCAGGCTCAGCCCTCTGTTCTTAAGGGCGTTCAAGACTGCCGTTTGCCAGGCGTCAAACGCCTAAAACCCCTAAAACCCCTAAAACCCTCCGCAGCAGCTTCGACCAGGCACTCAGGCCACAGCCCTCTGTTGCTAAGGGCGTTCAAGCCTGCCGTTTGCTGGAAACCCTTGTTCCAGGCTCAGACCTCTGTTCTTAAGGGAGTTCAAGACTGCCGTTTGCCAGGCGTCAAACGCCTAAAACCCCTAAAACCTCTAAAACCCTCCGCAGCAGCTTCGACCAGGCACTCAGGCCACAGCCCTCTGTTGTTAAGGGCGTTCGAACCTGTCGTTTGCCAGGCT